CTTACTATGGAATGAAAAGACCTTGAACACACCTGAAGACTCCTCAGGAGACCTGCTGCAGGGCTATTGTGTAAGAAGGGCCTGGACGCTCATAGCTGTGGCTCTGGGTAGACTTCCTGCACGAGTGGTGGCCTTGATGCTCTATCACTGCAGGGACAGAGTCAGAACAGTGAAGGCTCACACTCTGCCTCTGTGATTTCCTAGTCTCAATCCTGGCCTGTTTCTTCCTGTAGCTGTACCTTAGTTTTCTCTTGTACAAGGATGGTGCTGATGATCATTCATAGGCTGTAGACAGACTTACATCAGTAATGCCTAAGAACTCCTGGAATAATCTTGTAAGACATGGCCAGGGCAGCCTTTGTGTTACTGCTTGGGTGCCAACCGCCTTTTCTTTTCTGTCTTTTCTCCCTAGTTGGAGCCTGCCTGGAAGTCACTATGTGGACCAGGCTGGCCTCGTTTTAATGAAATTTTATTTATTTATATATTTATTTGTTGTTTATTATTTATTTATTTATTGTACGTGAATGTGTATGTGTGTAGGCACATGTGTCCCAGCATTCATGTGGAGGTCAGAGGACAATTTGCTGGAGTCAGTGCTCTCCTTCCACCACCTGGATTCCAGAGGTTAAATATAGGTCATCAGGCTCAGTGGCAGCATCTTTACGTGGTGAACCATCTTGCTGGTCCTGAGTCATTTATGTTTTTGTGGAAGGTCAGGGTGTCTCACTGGTCTGGAACTCACTTAATAGACTAGGTTGGCTGGCCAGAGAACCCTTTAGGTCCTCTTGTCTGCCTCCACAGCTCTGGGATTATGAATACATGTCATGGCAAATGGCTTTCTTTCCACATGGTTTCTCAGAATCAAATTCAGGTCCTTATACTTGCAAGGCAAGCACTTTGCTGACTAAGTCACTCCCCAGCTCACCTAGGAGCCCCCCCCGCTTTTAACTTTTACAAAATCTTTATTGAGAATTTCATACATGCATATAAGGTGCTTTGATCAAATCCATGCCCACTCCCTCCCCTCTAACACCTCCCATATCTCCCATCACTTTTTTTCTGACAGCTTTGTGACTCTTTCTTTCTCTCGCTTCCTTCCTTCCTTCCTTCCTTCCTTCCTTCCTTCCTTCCTTCCTTCCTTCATTCCTTCCTTCCTTTC